TGTAAGACTGCAACTCTGCTTCCTGGTCCCAACTCTGGATAGTCATATTTTGGGGGGTTTAATAAACCAAAACCAGATGTCACCATGTACCTGCTTCCATTGTGGACCACTACAACTTCCATTGCAAAGACACACCTTTAGTCACAGAAAATGAACGTAAATCTATGAAATTCAGTATAAATGCTTAAAAGCATTTAACTTGTGAAAAAAGCTGTAATTTGTTAAAACTGTCACTGATAGTTAGTGATGTGTGATACCACTGATTTCCTTTCCGATCCGATACCAAGTAAAATTCAGTGTGGTATCGGCGATACTGATCCGATACTTTGTACAAAAACTTATTTTATTTATTGTATCTCAAATTATAGCATCATAATGATTACAGGACAACAGATTACTTGTTCTTATCACTTAATAATGCAGAGTTCATCATATAGAAATAAAAAAACTGAAGTTGTGCGCTATTTGAACACCTTGCCTGCCTGCAGCACTAAAGGACTCAGTGAGATACGTCTGTCTCGCCCTAGCAGCACCTGTCCCTGTCCTCCTCTTCAGTTCGCTTCAACATACGCTCGTCATATTCTGTGATATGATTTACTCTGAGGTGTTTGACAATGTTAGTGGTGTGGCTACAACACCTCCCTTTTTTGCCACATGTATCGCAAACCATCTCAGCTGTTTGTGGAGGTAAAATACGTCCGCACATGACCCCAATTACGCTCAGCCATTGTTGTGAGTGCGCACGCCAAGGGGCTGCGAGACATTTATGCAGCCGTATTTCGCACATGACTATGAAAGGCGGAAGAGGAAGTAGTTCCTTCGAATGTAGACAATCTGAATGATATAGTTACTTTCCACTGTGTTCATGTTAATGATAAACTACAAATTTACCCTAAATTACTAAAATATCGATATTTTAATGTGAGAATCGATTCTAGAACATAAATGACTGGTATCGAAGGAATTGATATTTCAGGATCAATCCGCACATCACTACTGATAATGTGAATGGCTTTGCTCACAAATAAACAAAATATGCAATATTTAGCCCTGAGTTATCTAAAAAAACAACAACAAAAAAATAACATTATTTTATCATTTTTTGGCAGCACGGTGGCACGGTGGTTAGCACTGTTGCCGCACAGCAAGAAGGTCCTGAGTTCAATTCCACCATCAGGCCGGGGTCTTTCTGTGTGGAGTTTGCATGTTCTCCCTGTGTTTGCGTGGGTTCCCTCCCGGTACTCTGGCTTCCTCCCACCGTCCAAAGACATGCAGCTTGTGGGGATAGGTTAATTGGATAATCCAAATTGTCACTAGGTGTGAATGTGCAAATGAAACTGAGTGCGAATGGTTGTCTGTCCCTGTGTGTTGGCCCTGCGACAGACTGGCGAAACTGTTTAGGGTGTACCCCGCCTCTCGCCCTATGACAGCTGGGATAGGCTCCAGCGCCCCCCGCGACCCTGAAAAGGATAAGTGGAAGCGAATGGATGGATGGATTATCAATGTTTATTATAATAAGTATGTAATTAGAATTACATTTCAATTTTGCTCTTACACGATTTATACAATTTTTAAGTAGACAACAGCTTCAGAATGCACAAAGAAATGTTCCTGTATAATTTGTTTAGAGAAACATACCATCACACTCCAAAATATAAAAAAAAAAAGACTTTTAAACTTCATTAGAAATATTCACATGAATAATTTTCTTCATATCGACCTGAGCATCATAACTACATTAAGTAAATATGAATGGGTGTTAATAAAGACTTTTGGCATCAGTTGGTAATTTGTAATAATGAACTACACCAACCACCCACAAGAGCAAATCATGACAACAGGAACAAGGAGATAATGAGGACAGCAAAAAAAATCAGTAAGGAAACTGAGAAATCAGGTGAACTTCCTGTTAAAAGTGTTGCAGCAGATGGTGTTTCATCAATAATCTCCTTTAAGAATGACCCAAATCTTGAGATTTTGGTAAAGACATCAACATCTCCATGGCTCAGTCTACTTTCACAGACTGTTACAACAGCAACCTGGAACCATGATGACTCTGACTTGCACAGCAATGGGCTGCCCTGACCTCCCTGTGGATATAAAACAGGATTCATGATCAGTGATCAACAAACACCGAACCTGAAAGCATCAGTCCAAGCACATTTAGGATACAATTATAAATATTGTTTTTACCTCTTGAAGATCCATGGTGTGAGTACAAATTTGATCTGAATCAGAAAGATTGCCACAACTTGCAACTTGAGTTTTCATGTTTTGAAGAACAGCACCTGTAGGGGTCATATTTGCAAATGCAACCAAAGATATTCAGACACTGCAATTATTTAAAACAGCAAACCCTTACCTCTGCTGTTGTTCTTGTTTTCCCAGCCTGTCACCAAACACTGACTACCAATGGGGAAAGACCTTGAATCACTAATGTCCAAACACACAGGCTGGATATAATTGTTGAAACTGACTGATTCAAACAGCTCCAATAGTGCAATATTGGAGCCAGTCATTTTGCTCACTGTAATGTTCAAAACACCCAAAGATGTCTCAAACTCTTTGGAACCATTTACGAGTCTAAGACCAAGAAACACATTCCATTCACTGGCATTTGGACTGGTGCTGTCAGGAGGATTGAAGACACAATTAAAAGACAAATCTCAAACAGCTCATATTTTAAAATTAAAAATTATAAATGCTGTTTGTGTACTTACGTAGAGAAGCATTGTGCAGTTGTGAGTATAACGTTGTCAGATATTAAGCTTCCTCCACATTTGTGCACTCCATTTTGGTGAAGACTTACCATCCAGGGCCAAGTTCCTTCGGGTACAGTGCTCTTGTCTCCTCCTGTGTGACTGTTCACGAGGGTGTTGCCACAAACTGACACTGAAAGAAGAAACAAAAAATGAAAAAGGCAAATGCTTTAGGTGGTTCAAGGCTGGACTACTGTAATTCATTGTGATCAGGATGTCCAAAAAATCTCTGAAAAGCCTTCAGTTAATCCAAAATGCTGCAACAAGAGTACTGACAGGGATTAGAGAGAGACAGAGCATATTTCTCCTATATTTGCTTCCCTTCATTGGCTCCACCATTAAATCCAGAATTGAATTCAAAGTCCTTCTCCTCACATGTAAGGTGTTGAATAATCAGGCGCTATCTTGTCTTAATGACCTTGTGGTACTGTATCACAGCATTAGAGCGCTTCGTGCAGGCTTACTTGTCGTTCCTAGCATATTTTAAAGTAGAATGAGAAACACAGCTCTCAGCTGTGAGGCCCCTCTTCTGTTGAACCAGCTTCCAATTTGGATTTGGGAGACAGACACTATCTCTACTTTTAAGATTAGGCTTAAAACTTTTCTTTTGATAAAGCAAACACTTAGGGCTGGATCAGATGACCCTCCTCCCCTCACCCCAACCGGTCGTGTTCCTCCCTGAGTCTGTTTCTGCTCCAGGTTTCTTCCTGTTAAAAGGAAGTTTTTCCTTCCCACTGACCACAGGGCTTGCTCATAGGGGGTCATATGATTGTTGGGGTTTTCTCTATTTTCTATTATTGTAAGGTCTTCACCTTACAATATAGAGCACCTTGAAGCACCTGTTGTTGTGATTTGGTGCTGCATAATAACACTGAATTGAATTACACATACAGAAAATTTGAAAACATTATATACTTATCCATATTCATTTATTGGAACTGAAAAACTGGAACCTGAGACTTACTTGAGGGTCTTGTTAGAGGACCAGGACAGGTGTAGCTGCTGTCAGGATCCAGCCCGCTGGAGATGAACCGTACAAATCCTGGCCTATTAGAGCGAATGCGGGACTTGATCCAGAACTGGTAACGGGACACTCTGGAGTAGACTCCTGGCAGATTGGGCTGAGCACAACCAAAACCAAAACTTACAATTCCAGACTGGACCCAAACAGAGCCCTGTTTACTCACCATTGGACCTCCGGAGTCTCCCTGTAGAGATGAAGAGGACACATCTGAGAATCTTTGAAACATCTGATTATGTAACCAAATGAGATGAGGAAGCCTACCTGGCACGAGTCTTTGCCTCCTGCCAGAACACCAGCACAGATCATGTTGTCTGTGACTGTGCCCACTCCATTCAGGCAGTTACACTGTCTGTTTCCCACAACTGGCACCTCCACTTCTTGCAGCGTTTGAGGGAAGGGTAAGGCCACTGATGGGATGCAAGACGAGGAGCTGTTTACACACAAACCAATGAACCACAGAACACATGAACACTGAAACACCAACAACAGCCTCACCTCCCTCCTTGACTGCACCCCAGCCAGTCACCCAGCTATCAGTGCCATTGTTGAACACACTGCCACTTGCTGCCAGGCACACAGGTCTGATGTAGTCAGTGAATCTGACTGGTGAGGAGAGTCTGAGCAGAGCGATGTCATTGTTGTTGGTCATACTGTCATAGTTTGGGTGCAAAATGATTTTGGCAACATTTCTGGACACCTTATTTGGATTTGCACCCTGCAGGCTCTGAAGACCAAGAGAAACCGTCCACCCAGAGGGACTTGAACTAAAGTTAAAAAAAAAGAAAACGAAAATATAGAAGTTTTGATGAAAAAACAAAACAAAACATTGAACTGTAAATATTTGTATTTATGCATGAGCCAGTATTTTAACATTTATGTTGATGAAATGTTTCAGGAATGCTGGCAGTTTCAGTATTCCTAATCTGATATTTGCCTTCCTTGACAAATATTAGTCAAAGCCCAGTGTTCTGCGATACTGCAGATTTGGTATCAATCTGATATCAAATAAATACAGGGCCAGTATTACCGATACCAATACCGATGTCAGTACTTAACCTATATAGGCAGCTTTCTTAGGTTCAAGTTTCTTGGTGTGCACATCTCAGAAGATCTCTCCTGCTCAAAGAACACAGCATCACTGGTCAGTAAAGCCTAACAACAACTCTACTTCCCCACATACTGAGGAGTGCAAGAGCTTCAACCCCCATTATGAGCGCCTTCAACAAAGGCACTGTTAAGAGTATCCTCACCAGTTGCATCACTGTATCTAATGGCTTCTGATTGGGTCCTGCCAGAAAAAGCTATATTGAGTAGTGAGAGTAATAGAGAGGATTGTGAGTGATTCGTTTCCCTCCCTCCAGGACATCTATTGCACTCACCTCACCCAAAAACTCCTCTGCATTACAGATAACTCCACTCATCTGTCAAACAGCTTTTCCAGTTTTCTGCTATCGGGAAGGAGACTAATGAGCCTCTGCCTTGGAACCAGCAGGCTGAAAGACATCACCTTTGCTATTCACTGATTCCCCCACCCCACCTGTACTTGAACTTGTGCCCACAAACACAAAGTATCGATCGCATCGCGTTAGTATCGATTTGATATCAATGTCAGAGTTGATATCAGTACTATTGATATTTGGATCGATCTGCACACCTCTACCCTGTTCTAGCTGGATCAGTTTAGGCATAAAGATTAAACAGATGTTTGTGTTACACACCGAAAGAAGCAGTGAGCAGCAGACATCACCCACTCTTTGTTGATGAGGGAACCGCCACAAAAATGTTTACCAAATATCTGCACGCTGACCTGCCACGGCCAGTATCCAGGTGGAGCATCTTCACCTCCGACTATCCTGCTGCTGTGTGGAGCAGTGCCACATACTGAAACAAAGATCAGCAGGATCAAACTTAAGAAGCAACATAAATCATTGTGAAATATGGAAAACATTTTTTTCCCTGTTTGTAGTTGGATCGCTGATGAAATGAATTGTAATGTCAAAAACATAAATAATTAAATGAAGCAGTTTATAACTTTTATGAATTTTTTTTTTTTTTTTTTTTACTCAGAGAAACTCTTTTTACCTACCATCAAGCTGAGCATTTGATTCTGGAAAGAAACACAACAGGATCAGTGATGTTCAAGAGAGGAGATCCTGACTTTATATTTGCATACAGTTATGTTACATGCAAATGTTGGTCTGACTTACCTGCAGACAGGAGGCTCACCAAAGCCAATAAATGAATCCACTTCCTTAACACCATTGTGTAACTACACAGTTCTCGCGTGTCCCTCTTTTTATACTTGTGAGCCAGCTGTCAGTGAGTGGCAAATATATAAACCGTGTGCCACTTTTATATTTGCTCCTCCCACGTGCACACCCCACAGCCAGAATGCTGAAACATTTCCTTCTTCCTTTAATTTCTGGGACAAAGACTACAGAACTCCAGTGATTTTTTTTAATGACCAGAGCTTAAAGACCAGAGTGCACTTTAAAAAAAAAAGATGTGATATTTTTATGTCATTTTCCATGACAGACTTCTGCCCTTTTCACAGTTCAGTAATTCTTGCTACATTAATATTAATTTCAAAGTCAATGAAAAACCTACGGTTTACTATTAAGACATAAAATTATATTTTAATTACAAAATATTTACTGGTGCTGTCAAGTGTCTTAATGACTAGCTAGTATCATGTTGCCATGATTTGACAACTATTCGCACTGTATAAGGAAACCATTATGACTCATTCCCTTTACACCCTAAAACTAAAATTGTTTATTATCAATTTTTTTCCTTGTCATGAATCATTCCATACTTCATGGGTAAAAAACAGGAACATGTAATCTTTAAATGTTTGTAAAGTATTCAGACTATTTAAAAAATCACCTTAAATTAAGTCACTGATATACTAACACTACCTGAAATCAAAGATTTATACAGATAAAGTCATGTTAATTTATTTTGTAAGATAACCAAGCCACATGCAGGTGAAGAACAAATGACAAACCATGAGACTAAAGCTGCTGTCTGCAGAGCTCTGTAGACAGCAATAATAAAACAAACTTTTCTGATGAGGAATGCAATTAAATAACTGTACAGTTTACTTAAAATGTAAAATTCATAAATAACAACTATATTATATTTTAGCATTAAAAAAGCTTGATTAAGAACTTGTAAACAGCAAAACTTCACAGAATTATTAATTATGTATTTAATGTCATTTAAAGAAACTAAATACTATTATCATGATTGCATATTTTATAAAACAAAAATCTAGACATTTCTGTGATACAACTTGAAACTTTTATCCTGCGTAAACTGATTAACAATGTCAGTAAAATACTTGCAAAAACATACCTCTGGGAGGCCTGTCTGTAGGTTGCAGGTTAAGCAATTCAACTGAATATCTAGAAGAAATTATAGAAAGATGTGTTAGATGAGAGAATATCTTTTGGAATACATGTCATCACTGCAGTAGAGCTTTAGAGAATTGGAAACTTAGTACTTTTAGTAAACTCTCTATTTAAACATGTTGACATATGTCATTGATAGAAATAACTAAAGATTAATATTAATATCTTTAGAGTAACACTCATAACTAATATGTTACCTGACAAAGATGGCATGCACAATAAACAAAACTACACATTCATCCAAGAGTTCATGTTGCACCTGTTACTTTTATTATTGAATAAAACGAATAATATCTTCTGTCTGCATGTCCAGATATGCTTTTTGACTTTTTCATGACATTTTAGAACAACTGAGCATACTCAAAGGAGCTTGCAAAGAAAAGCGTCTGGACTTCTTTAAGTTGCTTGAAGACGTTTCACCTCTCATCCGAGAAGCTTCTTCAGTTCTAAGGT